TTTTAAAAACTAAAAGCTCATTTTTTTATACATATTTGATGACATTACAAGTTTATTGTCAGTTTCAAAATTCATCGTCTTCATATTTAATCTATGTGGGTATTGCAATTTTTTTGGCCACCACTGTAATTAAAATTTGTTTTTTATTGATCATTTCTATTTTAAAATATAAAATAAAGTGATAATACTTTACAAAATACTGAAAGATGAATTTTAGAAATAAATATTTGCTTAAAATATTAAAAAAGAAATAATTTTTTAAAAGAAATAGCAAGTTTTTTTAAACAACAATAATAGCTTTTTTGTTAAGTAATAAATATTGTTTAATATTTATAGACTTGTAGTATTAAAATAAAATCCATTATAATAATTAAGAGTGTTTAAAAATTAAAATAAGTTTCTTATAATAAATTAGTAAAATGAGATTAATTTTTTACAAGTTATTAATTTTATCCCCAAAATCTGTCAGGTCGAATCCCGATAAAGAATTGACTTATATAAATTATTTTATAATAACTTCAATTAATTAATAAACTATGAAGAAAAAGGGAGATATATTAAACAGTTAAAAGTTAAAAGATTGAAATTATGTGAAGAAGACACATTACCTAATAAAACTGTTTTTATTTTCAAACATTTCTTTAAATTTAAGGGTTTTATTATCAAATATCTTCAAAATAAAATTTATTAATTTTTTATAATTTAAAAATAAAGTTACCCTATAAATGATTTGGTTTTTATTGATTATAAAATTATATGTTTTTTCAACTATTGAACATAATGTTTTAGATGAAACATTGAATATAGATTTCGAATCTGAACAAGATAATTTCCTTCAAACATGTTTCCCTGATATATCAGAAGAATTATGTAAATTAATTGATCGTGAAGAATTAAGAAGACATGATGATAAAAGTGAGTCACTTATAACAACAAATTCAGAAGTTAATCACAATCCAGTAGAATTAAACAACCACGATAATACAATTATTTTACATGAATTAAATGATTCTGATATAATATTTGAAGAACAAAAAATATCAGAATCATCTTTAGTAACTAATTTTGATAAACAAGAATACTTTTTTACAGAGAATGAATTGAATAAAATTTATGATTTACAAATGCCAAGTAGATCAGATGAAATAATTAAAGAAAACCCAAAGAGTTGTTCAGAAACAACTCATGATGAAAAACCAATTAATGATAATGACAGTAAAAAGAATTATAATAAGATAAATCAAATTAGTAATTCTTCTAAAAGATATCTTGATGAAGAATCAGTACCAAAACGAAGAAAGATTAATGTTGATTCTAGTTCAAATCAAAGGTTAAATGATGTCATTCAATATTCTTATATATCAAAAGAAACATTTAACTTTTTTGTCAAAATATCATTAGCGCATTGTGATGATATTAAATTAGATAAAGAACTCATTATCCAGTATAATGAAGTTATTAATATGATTTTAAAAAGAAAAATATTTTCATTTTCTCATTATGTAACTTTTAATTATTATTATATGCCTTTAAAACAAAAATTATTTAATTATAAGAAACTATCAAGAATTGCTAATTTAGATTTAATAACAACTCAAAAACATTTAAACAAATTTAATTATTTTGAATGTTTTTTAATGAGATTAATTCATGTTTTAACTTGTAAAGATTTTAAAGATTATAAAGAAGAAAATTTTATGAAAATTAATCTATTTATAAATTTATTAAATCATTATATTAAATACAATGTATATTTGAATAAATTGAAAGAAGTGCTTGATTTGCTTAGAAGGAATGATGATAATTTATTAGAAAAGAAAGAAGATCTTATTGGTGCTATCGACCAAACTTTTATTATTTATATTAACATTTTATCAAATAGAGATAAAGATAGGTTATTTAATAATATTTTTATAAATATCAAACACTATGATTTGAATATTTTAAATAATAAGATTGATACTTTAAAATTTTCTCTGTGTTTTAAAGAGATTTTAAATTCGATTAGAACAGAACAGGATAAAGACAAACTGGTATTATATCTTTTAAAATTAAGTATAATATACTTAGATTTTATTAATAATTTATGTCGAGGGGTTATAGAAATAAAAAATGATAGATTTTTTTCTACCGAAAAAAATATGATTTATATTGATTTTTTATATTTAATAAGTAGCTTTCCATGGAATTTTTAATAAAATAATCGCTTTTGTTTTAATTTTTAATTTAAAAAACTTATAATATTTTTGATATAAGAAATTAATAGCACGTTGTTGTAGTAAAGTTATGTATTTCAAATATTTATTAATAATTTAACTATTTTTTGTAAATGCTTACGTTTTTTTATATTTAAAAATATATTTGAGTAAATTACTAAAAATGAAAATTAGTTTTTATAAAAAGTTATTGTTGTATTTATATTTATAATTATACTTTGGTGATATTTATATCATCTTTACTTATTAAAAATTTATTAATCTTTTTTAAAAATATTTTGAAAGTTTTAAAAAAACAGATAATGATTAAAAGAGTATGTATTTTTACATTATTCTCATTGAATTTTTTTAATTAATTATCTTTTTTGCAACCAATTGTAATTAAATAAAGTTTTGAATAATTGTTTTAATTATCTTTATAATATATTAAAAGACTTAACATATTAGTAATTCAAATGTAACATTTTTATTAAAATAATATAAAATCTTATAATAAATTAAAATTATTGAAATAATACAATAATTTGGGCGTAATTTATTTTTACTATTTAAATTTAGGATTAGTCGGAAATTATCTCTTTGTGATATAAATTATCGACCTTAAAAATTCATAGAAAATAAATAACAAGAAACCTAATAAATAAAATATATAATTTTTTAATCTTTAAATCTATGAATCATTGGTATGCAAAAGTGGTTGAATTGTTACTACGAAGTTTTGTTAAGGAACTATTAGAGTTTCTACGGATCAAAGAAGTACTAAAAATACATCCAGTGGGTATATTACAATTAAAATATTATAACAAAACCATACTCAAAAAATAAAAATGGTTTGAGGTTTAGATATTTTATCACAGGCTGTATAAATTATAAAAAACACTTCTCAATTTGCACCAAGTCATTGCTATCAAACTTAAACGTACCACTATGTAGTATACTAAAAGTGTGTTTTAAATGGTTAAAAAACCATGCTCAAGTACAGATAAGATCTAAGGATAATATGGGTAAAAACAACATAATAAAAATAATTGGTCCTCTTAGAAGTATGTTTTAATCATTATGTTGAAACCTCATTCTGCTTAGGCGATGATGGTATAATTGTTCAAACAGATAAAAGTTCATTTGGACATAAACAGAAGTAATATCATGGCTGACAACCAGAGCGTGAAAATTGGGTGTTTGGATTAGCTAATATATCTTACACATTGCTAAAATTTTTTTATACGTGGTTTTAAACAGGGCTGCTGGTACTCTCATACATATTATTAAAAGATTTTGTTCCCACGTACAATTATACACTCTGATGTGCGACGGGCTTACTCAGGTATTATTAGTGGATTGAGGTCTTTTCCTTCTACTGTAAATCACAGTGAATCATTGATGAATACTTCTACAGGCGTTCATGCTCAAAATATTAAGAGTTCATAGAATAGATTTAAGTATTTATTAAAGACGCACAAAGAAGTTTTAGATTTCAAGATGGAAATGATTTTAAATAAATTATATAGAAAACCAACATAGGGTATGTTAAGTATTTTGAAAAATTACTTAGTTTATTTAAATTCGAATAGAATTTGTTAATTATTTTTATAACTTTTAAAAGAAGTAAATTTCAGACTTAATTATAAATCTTTATACCACTTTAATGATGATCAGGGTTTTAACTATAAAATTATAAAAAAATGTTTTGTTGATTATCTAAATAATATAAACATTAACAATATTTCTCCTACAAAACATTTATACCGTTTATTTATCTTATAAAAACTTCTAATAAATCATTTAATTACTTTATTTTTTTTAAATTATACTTCATATAGTAAATTTTTTTAAGAAAAATTTTATCAAATAATAAACGGATTCGATCTAAAATTATTTATCATTAATTTTTATATGATAAACCGCTTTTAAACCTTTATAATAAAAACATAAAACATTATTTATCACAATGTTATAAAAATAAATTCACTATAAATAAAAAAAACAATTAAACAGTATTTTTTATTTAAAAACCAAATTAACGTTATTTCCTAATAAAACATTGGATTTTTTAGAAATTCTATAGAAATTATCATTAAAATATTGAGCATCTTTAGAATTCTTAAAGAAAATAGTTGCAATTTTTTTTTCACTATGAGAATTATTTTTTAAGTTTATATTCTTACTTTTCATATTAAAATCTTTAACAAAAACTCTCAAATCACTAATTTTAATATTTTTGTTAATTCCTTTTATAGTAATTTTAACTGGTTTCTTATCAAATATTTTAAGTTTAGAGACTTTTATATTCTTTCCTTCAAAATGCATGCTATTTTTTAAATTAATATTCGAATAAAATGTTATTACTGCACTTCCTCTACAATAACCACTCTTATTTCTATCTATGTTAATAGATTTAATATTCCCGTATTTAGAAAAAAGTTTTCTTAAAGACTCTTCTGTTGTTTTATAACTTAAATAATCAATCTTGTATTTGTTTTCTTGATATACTCTTTCATTCTTTAATTTCATCAAATGCAAGTCTTGTTCTAATTCCAATTTAGTATTATATCTTAAATCAATAACTTTATTATCTTTAATTATCATTGACTTGTAGTTTTTAGCATTCTTAATTTTCATTTTATTCGTATTTGAAAGTGTAATGACTAAATTGTTGATTTTAAAATCTTCTTTTTCTATTTTCTTAACTAGTGGTATCAATTTAATTTCTGGTTCTTCTTTAAACGTTATCTTTTTAATTTTCTTTAAATTTTTTTCTTCACGCAAATTCTTCTCATCATAATTATATTTCTGTAAAGATTCATTAGATTTAACACTATCACTCAATTCATTAGAATTATCTTCTTTATTAACAAACATTAATGTTTTATTCAAACTATCGGTTTTTATTAATATTGAATCCACCATACTTAATTCTCTATATTTTGGGGTAGAAAATTTTAAAAATTATTGTTGTTTTAAAATTCATTTAAACTCTCTTAGAATGTGTTGTTTGCTTGTTATAAACAATTTTGTAATTCAATTATTTTATTAAGAAAATTTTTAAATAAAATTTTTAACCCCAAAAATGTCTATCACTGATAAAATGAATAGTACTGAAATTAGAGAAGCTTTGTTAAGTTTCAAGCAAAAGTTCTCAAAGAAACCAGCATTTAATAGATACCACTCAAAAAGATACTTAAGAGTCAAATCACCCTGGAGAAAACCTAGAGGTCTTGATAACAGATGTAGAAAGAAAGTTAACGGTATGCCAATGATGCCAGGAAAGAGATTTAAGAAACCTGCAGTCATTAGAAACTTGTTGCCAAATGGTTATTACGAGGTCGTTGTTTATAATATTAATGATTTAGAAGCTATCCATTCTCTTAATGATAAATTTTGTGCAACTATTGGTGGAGCTGTTTCTGCTAAAAATAGAATTAATTTAGTTAATAAAGCTAAAATGATGGGAATTGTTTTAACAAATGAGCATGGTCGTCTTATGGAAGCTATTGATGAATAATTAAAATATTTTTATTAAAATTTTAAAATTCTGTTAAAGATCAATGAGTGAAAATGAAGCTTTTAAAAAGTATGATTTTACTGTTAAAAGTGATAAAAAACTGTTTTATTTTGATAAGGAGATTTATAAACTACCGAGAATGCCCTCTGATATACTTAAAGATGATGATTATTTCTATGTTATTACGAGAACTGGTGATTGTTTTAAAATCAATAAAGAAACATTAAATGTTGAGTTTTTGTTTGGTATCATTAATAAACCTAAACACTGTAAGATCTTTGAATATTCTTTAGGGATAGAAGATGAGCTTAATAGAGTTTTTATTTATAATAAAAAAGGTAAATTATTAGATATTCTATTTAATGTTAATAATGTTAATAAATTTTAATTAATTTGATTTAATTATACTTTTTAGATATAATTGAAAGGTTTGAGGTGTTAATTTTTTATAATACAAAGAAAAACGTTTCTCTTTATATTAAGTTTTAGTTATTTCTCGATTTGATTTAAGTAAATTAAAGATAAAATTTTAATAATTATAAGTGTTTAAGCCTTATTTTATTATTTTTTATATAAATGCAACTTAAAAGTATAGTGAGAACATAAATACTTTTCAATTAAATAAAAAAATTGAATTATACTTTCTTAATTTACTTAACTTATTTTATAAAATATGTTTTTTTATATTTTTTAAACTTGGGTGTTGTAAAATTAACTATTCAAATAAAAATTATAAAAAAAATTTTTTTTTCAATGAAAAAAGGAATGAAGAAATTTTATTGAATTAGCAAACTTGATGCCCCATTTAATAAAATTTCTTTTAAAAGATTTGTAAACTTCAATAAACTTTTCTTTTTATCAAATATTATCAAAGAATTAGAAATTAAAATAGACAAATCTTTTATAAATAAAAGACATGATACATGTAAAATTGCTTGATATCTATTTAGAAGAAGTA